TGGACAATGAATAAGGAAGACCGAAGAAGAGTTGATGCTTTTGAGTTGTGGTGCTGGTGAAGAATGCTGAAAGTACCATGGACTGCTAAAAAAACTAACAGATCTGTCCTGGAGGAAGTGCACCCTAAATGCTCCTTGGAAGCAAGAATGGCCAGACTTCGTCTCACCTATTTTGGTCATGTTTTCAGAAGGTACCATTCCCTAGAGAAGGATGTCATGCTTGGTAGGGTGGAGAGTCGACGAAAAATGGGGAGGCCTTCAATGAGATGGATTCACATGGTGGCTGCGATGATGGGCTCAAATATAGCAGGGATCATGGAGCTGGCGTGGGATCAGACAGTGTTTTGTTCTGCTGTGTATGGGGTCGCTGTGAGATGGAAACGACTCGATGGCACCTAACAACAACAACAAGATATTTCAGGGTTTTACTAAGAAATACTTTTTTAAACATCAGATGGTCAAGTAGACTAAAGAAAATCAAAACCTTTTTTTTTAATTTTAAACATCTGATGTTTAAAAAAGCATTTATTAATAAAAACCCTGTAATATTTTAACAGTATTTTTTTTCTCCAGTAAAAACTGGCAGAACTGGGGAAGTAGGAAAGGAGCCATCTCACTTTCTCATCTACTTCTTGCTACCCTTAAACCCACATTGAGTATGTATTTGCCAGACCTTGGCCAAATGGGCCTACAAGCCAAATGTTGACTAAAGCATTGGTGGTTCAGTGGTAGAATTCTCACCTTTTATGCCAGAGACCAGGGTTCAGTTCCCAGCCAATGCACCTCCAGTGCAGCTACCACCTATCTGTCAGTGATGGTACTTCTAAAATGTACTTCTAAAAATTTGCCATACTTTATGGATCGCATTGGTTCAATGCAAATAATGTAGGACTGGACAGTGTTTTGTTGTGTTGTGCATGGGGTATCTATGAGTCAGGGGTTAACTTGATATGGCCACTAACAAAAAGTTTAACGTATACTTAACTAGGTGTCATAGTCCATGTTTAAACATTATTATTAATTTACAGTGACCTCAGCTGGGAACGAAAGCAGAGGTTTTTCATCTGGTCCTATGACAAGTCATCCAGGACTGGGTTGACAGGCAATTCTTTCTCCTCAGCAGTCAGTGAGGTCCATGTACCACAGCTCCCCCCAGAGCCAGCAATCTGCTGCATCAGGAGCCTAACCACAGAGGGAGCACACTGCCACCTCCTGGGAGCAAGGGAAAATGCACATATTCTGACCCTTTGTTATGTGCC